TTGTGGCTGTAAACTAGCAGGATGAAGTCTGGGAAGTGCGCTGAAGACGTGGTTAATTTTGGCAAGGTGGAGATATGGCGTTTGTTTGTGTATATGTGTATCAGGGAAAGAGATTCGTGTGCCAAGAAGCATATACGTGTATCTGGTTTATTTATTTTGTGTAGTGATGTTTTTATTTTAATAATTTCTGTTTCTTGATTTTGTTGTTTCGCCAAGATCATTATTTCGCTGAGTTCCTGGTGTTTGATGCAGTCTCAGGTTTTGGCACTTAACTATGCTTGTATTTACCATGTTTTTGATGTGTGTTTGTGGGCGTGTGTGCACGCGTATGTGTGTGTAGGCTTTCCATACAATAGAAGGCGATGTATAAGACGTAAATGATTGAATGGGGAGCGGAAATATAACTGAAAGAATATCGTATATTACGGTTAGGTCAATGAGGTTGAACTAATGATAGAAATATAAACTGTAATATCAAATGAAAGCATGCTCTTACAGTTTGAAAAGCTGAAGAGAAGGAAGGAGGAGAAGGATGAGCAGGGGAGATGTATTTTTGTGTTTGCTGTATAAATTTTAATGTGTGTCAGAGTGAGTTAGTGAAAGAGAGAGATAGAGAGGGAGAGAGAGAGAGTGAGGGAGAGAGAGAGAGAGAGAGAGAGAGAGAGAGAGAGAGAGAGAGGGGAGGGAGATAGAGAGATAGGGAGAGAGAGAGAGAGTCAACAAACGAACTTTATTTTCAAAGGGTAAAGAATTGGGCACCCAGGCCATCTTGCATTCTGCCCTTTTGGCCTCACTCCTTGCATACATTATTCCAACGTTTCTCAAACATTGTTCGCCTTGGCACCCTTGTCGGGCAAAAATATTTTCGCGTCACACCTGTCCTTAAAGCGGTTTCAATACTTAGGAAAAGAAGAACAAAAGTGCAAATTTAAGGTTTAGTTGTCTTTGATGCAATGAATAAAACTGTTTAGATGAATTTTTCATTATTTGTTTGTTTTTATAGGAAGTTTAGTTAAATGTACCCTCAAATCACTTGAAGGTTACTCCTATATCTGTTTTCTAATGTAAGCGTACGTTGTCCATATCATTGTTTTCTGAATACATCTGCGCCTAAAAATCTTCTTGGCTTCCTTCGTGGTATTTCTGCTTGAAAGTGATGTCTTCGCTGATTTCGAGCAGATTTAGAAACATTCTTGAATATTGCAGCGGCACCCCAGGCATACGCGGCACCCAGTTTGAGAACCTCTGCATTATCCCATTCACATATCAGTTAGCAAAACAATAATACATGTCTACATCCCATTCTTCACCACAGTTGCTGTGATATCCTCTAATTTTACCTACATTTCTAAGAAGTAATAGTACTAAATAAGTGTAACAAATCTAGGATGGGGCGGGGCCGTCTCAATCCATGGTCACGTTGGGCACTTGCCCATGGGCTCAGCAAACATAAGGGCCCCATGTTAATCTGTGTGTATAAAGTAACTAGCCATAAATAAAAATATGTTTGTCGTTTAAATAAGTTCTTTGTAAGATAAAACTGATATTATATTCCCCTCTTTCCCTGTCCTTCTCTCTATCCCCCGGTCTGTCTGTCTGTCTGTCTGTCTGTCTGTCTGTCTGTCTGTCTGTCTGTCTGTCTGTCTGTCTGTCTGTCTGTCTGTCTGTCTGTCTGTCTGTCTGTCTGTCTGTCTGTCTGTCTGTCTGTCTGTCTGTCTGTCTGTCTGTCTGTCTGTTTGTCTGTCTGTCTGTCTGTCTGTCTGTCTGTCTGTCTGTCTGTCTGTCTGTCTGTCTGTCTGTCTGTCTGTCTGTCTGTCTGTCTGTCTGTCTGTCTTTGTCTCTCTCTGATTTATGGAACTTCTATGTGTTCATTTTAATCTTTTCTCATGAAGAAAATAATCTAACATACATTGTTGTGGATTTTCTTAATAAGAACAAAATTTCATTATCTAACTGCTGTGGTCAATCATAATATAATGCCTCAAATATATCTGGACATTGTAGTGAATTGTAGGCGCGGAATTATCTACGGCCCCTGTGCTGGATATAGCCGGAACGTCTTCTTCTTCTGCCGTCTAACCTTAAAAGGAGCATAGGCTCTCAACCAACTCACGCCAAGTCGATTTATCTTTCGCTATCGCATGCAGCTCTCTCCATGTCCTCATAGATTTTTTTAAAATTCACTCTCTAGCTCCCGTCTCTGTGAGTGTTTTGTCTTCCTTTATTTCTCAGCCCCTGTGGGTCCCATTGCAAAGACAGTCTAGTTATATACTATGCCAGCTTTTCTTGCCTTTGTGTTCGTATTTTAATATCTTAGTAACTTCCTTCATCTTTGTCTACACAACTGCCCAAATAGGTGTACGACTCCACGTCTTGGAGTGGGGATACCTTAAGAGACAACACACTGCTTTTTGCCTGATTTATTGTCATTAACTTTGTCTTTCCCTTATATTTTTTCAGACCTAGTTATTGTAATCTCGCGTCAAGTATATTTAAATTATCTTGCATCTGATTCCGTGAGTGGAACAGAAGATAAATATCATCAGCGAAATCCAGATCATCAAGCTGTTGTGTAGGTGTCCATTGAATTCTATTCATGGTGTTAGCAGTTGCTGTCTTCATAATCCAGTCTATTGCCAGTAAAAGGATAGGCGACAAAAGACATCCCTGTCACACACCTATTTTTATTTTAAATGTATCTTTTAGCTTTCCCTCATGAAGAACTCGACAGTTCATGTCTTTGTGAAAGCTTTTTCATAGTCTATGAATCCAATGTAAAGCGGTGAATTCAATTCAATGCTTTACTCTATTATTATACGCAATGTGGCTATCTGGTCAGTGCGGGCCGAAAACCTGCCTGTTCACATCATAGCTTTCTGTAACTAGTATCTTTTAGTCTTTCCAAAATAATCCTACTTGATATTTTTTTCCCTCTAGGAAGTGACATCGACAAAATTCCTCTATAGCTTTCACACTCCTGTAGATCATCTTTTGTGGGCAGTTTCACAAGGTATCATGCTATCCAGTCAGATGGTATTTCTTCGGTTTCCCAGACTTTATTAAATAATCTATGTAGCAATTTTCTTGATGTGTTTATAATGGTCTTAATACCTTCTGCTGGGATACCATCTGGGCCTACCGCCCGTCCTTCCTTTATTCAGAAGATTGATAGCTTTCCTTATTTCCTCTTTAGATGATATCTGGCAGTTGATAACCAGTTCAGTTTCTTCTTCTTCTTCTTTTTCTTCTTCTTCTTCTTCTTCTTCTTCTTCTTCTTCTTCTTCTTCTTCTTCTTCTTCTTCTTCTTCTTCTTCTTCTTCTTCTTCTTCTTCTTCTTCTTCTTCTTCTTCTTCTTCTTCTTCTTCTTCTTCTTCTTCTTCTTCTTCTTCTTCTTCTTCTTCTTCTCTTCCACCTTTTACCTCATCGAAGTGTCGGGAGGAGATGTAATGTTCGTCGATGAGCTTTGTCAACAGCACTTTTAAGACTGATGTTAATTTCTGTAGAGCTGTTCTTAATGCCATCACTCCATTGTTTCCAAGGTCTTCCACTCGCTCTATACCCGTTGTAACGTTTTAGTGTGGCTCGCTGTGGCGGATAGTACCAGGGCATTCTTGTTATGTGTCCAAACCACTTCATTTGTTGTTCTTTGATGACCTGTAAGACTGGCTTTATTCCTAGCATTCGTCTGATTTCATGATTTCGTATTCTGTCTTTCCTTGAAACTCCTGCAGCTCTTCTAAGGCATTTCATCTATGTTGTCACAATTTTACGTTCATTGGAGGATGTAAGTGTCAACGTTTGGCATTGATAGCATAGTGTTGGCCAAAAAATAGTTCTGATAAGAATCACTTTACTAAGTTCAGTTTCTAGAGGCTGGATATCTGATGGAACCTCTCGGACTGGTCTGTTGAGAAGTATTTCAAAATATTCGGCCCATCTGTTCATTTGATCGTTAGTGTTGGTGAGTACTTTTCCTTGACTATTGTTGACTGACCCAGCAGTCTGACTATTTACCTACTAATTTCCTTGTGTTACTATAAAGGTCTCTGAAGTTTCCTGTTGTTGCTGCTGTCTCCGCTTCTTGAGCTAGATCATCTAAATATTTCCTGCCCTTATTCGCCTGCTAACTTTCTTTTTAGCTTCTTTTTCCTGAGCGCTAGCTTTAGCAGCTATTTAGTCAGCCTTTTTTCGTTTGCTTTCTTCAATCAGCCTGAACTTTGTGGAAGTAAAAACAACAGAGCATTGTCTACAGTTTACACAATTCTTTGAATATGTTTAGCATCTGTATTCATTTGAAAAAAAAAAATAGTTTTACACATCGACGGTATGTTTTGGCATCACCTTTAGGGAAATATTTTGTGGCCAATTTCTATCTGACACAGTTCTTTCTTCATTGCAGTCACCGGCTGTAAACGCCGGCGGAACGTTCTGGTTGTTTGTACATTTCTGGACCTCGATCTTTTCCAAGAAATTGAGTTTTGCTTGTATATCTGCTTTACACATCTGGCTCATTTGTATGCATACTGTTGCTTTCTCGCCTCACGTAGACGCACTCCGATTTCGAAGGAAACGCCCCAAAGTAGTCGCCTTTTACGGCATGCTTGTTAAAGGGATTTGGGTCCATTGCAACCCCCCTCCCCCTCCAGGCCCCAGCCGCAATATGGCCACGAAAACTACACGGAGATTATATGACTTAAACACATATTTAAAGTTAGTTGCATATCCTTAACAGGACATTGCAGGACAAACCCCAGCATTTTTGTGTGTGGCTGTTTTGGTTTTTCTAGGCAAATTTACCTCTAGTAGTTTGCCATTGACACTGAACGGTCGGCTTGTCTATATCACTGTCGAAACCAACACAAGGCGCAAGGCCTGAAGCTGGGATCGAACCCGGCAGCCCCGGCATTACGAAACGCAGTGGCAACGCCTAAGCCACAGACGCTGACCAAAGACATATAATGTTTCACTAATTCTTTGTCTCTAGCAAGCCCGTCCCAGTGATGGAGAACCACCTGAGAAGAACGTCAGCTGTGGTTTCAACAGATCGACGTGGCGAGCCTTCAGTGGAAGAATATCAGCAGTATAAGCTTCAGGTGAGTGCGCATGGCAGATACTGTGTGAAGTGATCGGATTTTCTGTTTCTGATTGTTCGTCCACTTTTGGACTTCGGTCTTAACCTAGAAGGGAGATTTTAACATGCACGTCCGTTTTACAGATCTGGACTATTTGTATACAGGATGTTGGTTTCTTGCCTCTCAGGCATATGCACTCTGTCTTAGAAAGAAGCACTCCTAATTATTTGCCTCCTACGACAAGCCTTTTTAGGGGACATGGGGCTCATTCTTTGTTCTCAAAAATGGGGCTCTGGAACCCACACGAAGATACAGGGGAACGAATATTTAGAGAATCTGATTGACACTGGTCGGTTCTGTGGCTAAGTCGATGCGAACGTTTCGTAATGCCCGGATGCCGGGTTCGATCCCAACTGCGGGCCATGCGCCTTGCGTTGGTTTCGACAGTGGTATCAAGAAAGCCGACCGTCCAGAAATCAGTGGCAAACTACTGAACGTAAATTTGCCTATAGAAACCACACAACAGCCAGGGCTGCTAGTCTACAACGTCCTGTAACGGATACGCAGCTAACTTATTGACACTGTGTCCTTAAAGTAGTGGATTTACTTTCGCTGTTGATCCTCCTCAATAATGTAAGCTTTGAAGCGATTGTCTTCTATGATTAGATGAGCATTTCCTTATCCTTGCCTTCTGTATATGTATTTTAGTTCTTGTGATAGGTCGGCGTCTGGGGATTAGGCGTTGCGAACGAGCTTCGTAATGCGGGGTGCCGTGTTCGATCCTAGCTGCGGGCCTTGCGCCTTGCGTTGGTTTCGACAGTGGTATTGAAAAGCCGACCGTCGAGAAATCAATGGCAAACTACTAGACGTAAATTTGCCTAGAAAAACTACAACAGCCAAAAAATGCTGGGGTTAGTTCTGCAACGTCCTGTAAAAGATACGCAACTAACTTTTTAATAGGGGGGAAAAAAAAAACCGAACGAAAAGTATATCAGCGAGCTTTACAACATAATAAGCACAAACAAAACGTGAAAGTTGCAGCTATGGAGCCTTCTTCTGCGCATACATAGATTAGCAATACTATACAAATACACAATATCACTTATCGTTGTATCTCGAGGCAGCCGGGGCGATGTCAAGCCAATAGTCTGTCAAGGCACGTGGTGACAGGAAAATAAATATCCCGGAAAATATAAGGGGCTGTCACTCAAGAATAAGGTGAAAGTGTGTAGGCAGTTCAGCCCCCTAGGATTTAGATGAAGCTGTGTTGGCAGTTTAGTCCACTGGGCGACAGAGTTCTAGTGATGAACTGCTTGATCTTGTCACGTAGACATCTGGAGCTATATGTAACACGTTTTTCACCATCATAGATAATTTACTGTCAACACTAATAATATACCCTTAAAGTATGTTATTACTTGGGCTGTACCGAATATTCGCTTCGTATTCGCTTCGGGGCCGAATAGTGGACCCAATAACTATTCGGTATTTGGCCGAATAGTTGCGGTCGGGCTGAATACAAATAGTGGTTACCTCACAACCGTTTCTGGACTGGTGGAAAAACAACATCAAGACTTCCCACCTTGGTTTATACTGTGAAGCGTTATCTTTGTGCACCACAATGATGATGATAGTGTTGTCGGCTTGATTTCTTTGAATGGAGTGTCCTCTTCGTTGATTCTTCGAAGTAACGGGAGTTCGTCATCATTTATGTGTGTCGTATCTGTTCTGTCGTGGAAACGTCAGCGGCTGAATGTTTTGATCGACATTCGGTTTCTTGATTGTCTTTGTTGTTTGATCTTCTGGCGTTGGCCGCCCGGCGTCTGATTTCGTGAGCTCGCGGGGGGGGGGGGGGGGGGGGGGGGGGCTGGGCGACTTGTAAGGACGGCATTGTTTTCTTCGTCGGCGTTATTTTTGTTTTTGATGTTTCGCCTTGCGGGTTTTCATTTTGACTCTTTGTATTTGTCGTATTTTCCTGTTTAGTACAGCTGGAAATACCTTCAGTGAGACAAAAAGCTAGCCTAATGCTGACAACATGGAACGAAGGTTTTTCATGGAGGTGTGTCAGCACACGAACTAATACGTGCTGCAGGAGATCGCAGATTGTGGCGAGGCATAATCGCCCATGCCAGCCGACAAAGCACATGATGACGATGATTCACTATTCGTATTCGGCCAAATAGTTGGTCCAGCTATTCGTATTCGGCCGAATAGTGAAAATCACTATTCGGTACAGCCCTAGTTATTACACGTGTTATACCACTGTCGAAATCAACAAGAAGGATTTGCTGCTCAGTCACATAGAAAATGGAGCTATATTTTCCCCACATAATTATAACAGTAAATGGTTTTCAACCGTCCATGTGCAGCGAGGCAGCTGGCGAATCTGGCCGCCTCTAGGATTACAAGCTTTGGGTGGAAACCCACCGGAAATAAGCAAATTAAGGGAGGACAGAAAATAGAGGAAAGAGAAAGAAAGAAAGAAAAAAGAAAGAAAGAAAGACAGGCAGGCAGGCAGTCATATGGACGGACGGACGGACAGACAGACAGACAGACAGACAGACAGACAGACAGACAGACAGACAGACAGACAGACAGACAGACAGACAGACAGACAGACAGACAGACAGGCAGGCAGGCAGGCAGGCAGGCAGGCAGGCAGGCAGGCAGGCAGGCAGATAGATAGATAGATAGATAGATAGATAGACAGACAGACAGACAGACAGACAGACAGACAGACAGACAGACAGACAGACAGACAGACAGACAGACAGACAGACAGACAGACAGACAGACAGACAGACAGACAGACAGACAGACAGATAGATAGATAGATAGATAGATAGATAGATAGATAGATAGATAGATAGATAGATAGATAGATAGATAGATAGATAGATAGATAGATAGATAGATAGATAGATAGATAGATAGATAGATAGATAGATAGATAGATAGATAGATAGATAGATAGATAGATAGATAGATAGATAGAAACGAGTAGAAGTGCGGAAAATTAGCAGTGAACGAATAGGGGGAGAAAAAAAAGAAGTGAAGAGCGATTTGCGGACAGCATTGAAAGAAGAACAAAGAATCAAACCGAAGACAAAAGTGGGAGTGGGGAAAAAAAGGGGGGGGGGGGCAAAAAGAAAACTAAACATAATTGTGTCCGTTTGTGACGGTTGATCAGTCATGCAAGTAAAATTCTACTAAAAATTATAATGAGAAGACTGCATAAGAAAATGGAAGAAGAGATTAATGTAGCTCAGGCTGGATTTAGACAGGGAAGAGGAACAAGAGATCATGTATTTAACATGCGTTTAATAATAGAGAAGTGTAGAGAATTTAATGTAAATCTGTTGTTATGTTTTGTGGATTATTCAAAATCATTTGACTGTGTACAACATCAGAAGCTTTGGGAAATCATGAGGAATATGGGCTTTCCATCACATATAGTGCAGCTCATTAAAATGCTCTATCAAGACCAACAAGCAGCAGTCAGAATAGATGGAGAGACATCAGACTGGTTTGGCATCAAGCAAGGAGTCCGTCAGGGATGTGTGCTGTCACCGTATTTGTTCAACCTGTACGCCGAAAATATAATGAGAAATGTAAGAGATGATATAAACAAGGAAAAATATGATGCCCTAAACATCGGTGGTGAAATACCAGAAATTCGTTATGCTGATGATACAGTATTACTATCAACATCACAAAATGGTTTAGAAAACTTATTAACCTCACTCCAAAGAAATAGTGAAAATCATAACTTTTTTCTTAACATAGCAAAAACAAAGATAATGCATACAAACAAAACTGCCATGGAGAAGGAAATATATGTTAATGAGGAAAGATTGGAAGTGGTGGAAAATTTCGAATATCTTGGGTCACTGGTTACCAACAATGGTGACACAATGAAAGAAATTAAACGGCGACTATCAATTGCTCTTCAAAGACTAAAACAACTGAATAAATTATGGAATTGTACAGATAGAATTACAAAGGTCAGATTTTTAAGAGCATGCATCTTTCCCATTGCAACATACGCCTGTGAGACCTGGACACTTACTAAACAAGCGGAACAGCGCATAAATGCATTTGAATATAAATGTTACAGACAGGTTCTAAGAATATCTTGGGTAAAGAAAAGAACAAATGCATCCATACTTCAAGAGCTGAATATTGAAGAGGGTTGGCTAGTAAAGACAATAAAACAAAGAAAATTGAAATATTTTGGTCACTTGAAACGTCATGGAAGTCTAGAGAGAACAATAATGGAGGGGTATATGCCTGGGAAGAGAGGAAGAGGAAGGCCAAGGAGAAGATGGGTGCAGGATGTGGCAGATGATCTCCAGATGGGTGTATCAGACGCAGGACATCTTGCTCAGGATAAGAAGGTTTTCCGGAGGGTTGTTATGGCAGCGAGGTTCCGCGAGGGACATGCTACTGAATGAATGAATGAATTGTGATGGAGGTGTGTTGTTGTGGTGGTGGTTGTTGTGGTGGTGGTTGTTGTTGAGTGTTCTGTTTAGTCAGACCATGCTGAGTCAATCCTAGGAGGCGTCTCATTCTTGTACCCAGTCGCTTCTGGATCTCCACAGACTCGAGGCGAATACGAGGAGTTGATGATCGAGTTCGAGTTTCGATGCCGGCGGGCAGGCATGATGAACTACCACGAGTCGTCAAAGTACAACCTGAAGGTCTACTACATGGAAGTTGCCGCGGCATTGTTGGGTCAGTTTGCTTCAATGTATCTGTCTGTCAATCAATAACCTAGTCAAGCAAACAAGTAACTTAAACAATGAAGTCTCGGTTTAATATATTAGGTTAGCTGCAATAGATCTTCAACACTCTATGTCTCTCTTTCGCCGTGGTTAAATACTCTATTATATACTCTTTCGTCTTATTCCTGTCCGAAAACATCCGGTAATCCGTGCAGCAGGAGAAAATCAACCCTGAGCCTCATGAACTCAGGTGAGCCCACTCTCTGAAAATGTAAAGGAGCTCGTGGGCCGAAACATTTGTCGACGAAGGATTACTACTAATGATGATTGGTAGACTCCTGCTGTACATGCTACCCTGTGGAGTTTCTTCTTACTTATCTTGGACTGCTGTTCGCCTGGCTATCGCTATTACCCCCCCCCTCTTTCTCTCTTTCTCCTTCTCCAGGCCCGGCTCGCTAGCGTAGTTGGCTAAACCAGACTGCGCGGTAAACGGGTGACGAACTCCTTGTGGTCCGGGTTCCCGCCTGGGGGTAGGCAGAAAAGTCACATTCTCCCAGATTTACGGTATCTATTATGGAATCAAGACCGAAGGGTTTCGATATCCATAATACCGAGCCTAAGGGTTAACACTAAGTCGATGCGAACGCTTCGTAATGCCGGGGTGCCTGGTTCGATCCCAGCTGCGGGTCATGTTCCTTGCGTTGGTTTCGACAGTGGTATCAAGAAAGCCGACCGTCCAGGAAGCAATGGCAAACTACTGGACGTACATTTGCCTAGAGAAACCACACAACAGCCAGGGGCTGTTTGAGTTGGTTCTGCAACGTCCTGTAAAGGATACGCAACAACCTTAAAAAAAAGGGTTAACAACTCATGGCTGCTGAATACTAACCCCCCCCCCCCCCCTCCCCACTTGTAACCCTACTGGGAGTTGTCGCGGCTTTGGTCACTAGACCCCCGCCTGCGGATCGGAAGGTCGTGGGTTAGCGTCCTGACGGAACCGGACGTTTTTCATAAATGATCTTGACTTCTAGGTCGACCCAGCCTTAAGTGGGTACCAGGTGCAGTCTTGGAAAGTAAAGAATAAATATAAAAACTGGAAGTGTTGCAAGCTAGCTTCGTTCGGGCACATGGTGAAACCAGATTCGATTGCAAAGATTTTACTTCAAGAAACATAACATGGGGTGGGGGGGGGGGAGAGGGGGGGGGGGGTAGTCAAATAAGAGGAGGACATAAAAAACTGAAATGAAATGACAACATTAAGAAATGAACAGGACTAAGTTATCATACACTTATTCATTAGGCAGAAGACAGAGAAAGATGGCGGGTTTTATGTACTAGTGCTTCCATTGATACACCTCCACGACCCTAACGGGTTAAGGGTTATGTTATGTAGGTTAATGCGTGTTGCCTTCAAAGTATGGGTAACAGATTTTAGGACTTTTCAAGTGGTCAAAATATTTCATTTATCTCTTTTAGTTTCTTTCAAAAACTTTTTTTTTTTCAATCCCAGTACAACTGGCTCTAACTGTTTTGTTTTGTGAAATGTGATCAACTCTTCTATACTTTCCCATTCTCGGGTCTTTTGTGATTCAGACAATTAATTGATCAATCGAGTGCCATCATTACAATGAATTCTGAATGTAATGAACTTAATGACGTTTTGTCTCTCGTTTTGTTTATGCTCTCCAATAGACTATTACTTATCAATCTCGGAATGTCATCTTTATGCCTATATAATATTTCAATACCTTGCCCTCCTTTTTCGACTTTTCCCTTCAGCCGGTTATTTTAAAAGGTTATTACAACACCCTAGCTGTGTTTTGGACATATTGTCCTAACCGGCACTCTTCCAAATACCGGTCTCAAATTATTTACTGTCCAAAACATCCCTTTTAGAGCCTCAAGGGGTTCAAGGGGTTTTAAAAAGGTTACACAAAATACAGAAAACGAACAACAAAGTATGGAACAATACGTACCAATAATGCCGTGAAATAATAATTGAAGCCATCATCATCAGTTTCCACTTCTGCGCAATGTTTAAAGTTAAGCGGCGTGAGTAGTCCTAAGCATATACATTTACACATACATTCTTTAATCTCAAGAGACATTAATGAATAAGAACAACGAACGAATTTTATTTTCGAAGGGTTACAATTTGGGCACGTGGGCATCATTTATGTCCCGCTTGCACACATCTTTGTATCGTAGTAGAGGTTGACCTTGACATCTTCTACCTGCCTGAAATTCACCCTAGATTATGTCCTCAAGGACTCTGCATCCTCCATTCTCCAGGTGTGACCAAGCCACCTGAGCCTTCGTAGACTAAGCAGTAAGAAGACTGTTGTAATTATGTTTGTTTTATTGTCTCGCTCATTTGTCGTTGTTGTTGGTCAGCGCGTGATTACGATTTTGTCCTAGCTGCAGTCACCTATTGAAGCATACAGGCTGAGGTGGATCAACATTTTATTGGCTGGGGGCTGCCCAACTTGAGTCGGGCGGTAGTTGATCAGTGACATTCGAAAATGTCTCCCACCGTCAGAGGCAACCCGTGGCGCCCTCGTCTACACCAATTGATAAGGATTTATAACCCGTAATTGGTGCCTCTCGATTTATTTCAGAGACCAATTACGACCAGGGATGAATTTCATTCTCTCCATAGCACAAAGCTTGGGTTGTATTATGGAGACCATATGTTGCCCATGCGTAATGATCCTTCACTCAACCTGCCTTGTTTATTCCAAAGGCAAGATAACACCAGTACCAGGCAAAAGCTGCCTGATCAGAAGAGCAGTGCTTTATCTGTCCGCCTGTCGGAGCTTTCCTCCTAGACCAATTGCCAGCCAGGTTAAGGGCCTGGTCTACCCTGCTATAACATAAGGTTTTCAAGTTGCATTTCCTCTTCCTAGGAAAGCCTAACTACCCAACCTAAGCACGAACGAAATTACAGTGCCAAACTACAAGTATTTATCAAATGAACCTATCGAGGGGTTAACGTTACACAGCGTCTGCAGGACCGACTAACAACAGTTGTTGGACACACGTTTTTTGCTGCTGTTCCATTGTCCACTTCTATCTCAGCCCCGCCTTTTTAGGAAACTAGATTCTCCTACAGCGTATCAATTTACACGTAAGTGCCAGCTGACTTACACTAGTCGAACAGAGAGACAACTTAAAAAAAAAAAAAACAGAGTAGCAGAACATATACCCCAGTGATTCCATGCTCAACTGAGTGATTCCGTGAGAATGTCACAACCCAATTCTTCAACAGGGTGTCATTTGCTTGATTCAGGACATGCAATTGACAAGGCCAGTGTTTTCCGTGTTATTTACCACACATCGAACAGGCAAATGTCAAGACTAGCAGAAGCTTTAATAATAAAAAGCAACAATCTCCCCTTATGCAAACAGAAAAAGTTCATTACATATTTGAAGTTACCCTAGTAAATCACATGACTGTCTTAAACTTCTGACGATTAGACAAACAGTGAATTGAGAGAGACCACGTAATGTGTATTTCAGCTAATTTAATTCAGGTGTTTGTGTTTCATTATAAGTTGACTGAACTCTGTAGTAATGCATCTGACAAGATACAGTGAAATATGTATGGCAATAAATTGTGCAGTGTATTGTTTGTGTCCGCATTATTTCAAAACACATTGTTTCTACTAAATTGTACATCAAGTGAAAGTATTGTTGCACTTAATGTCTGCTAAAATGAAGGCTTGATTCCTTTCAGGGGCAGTGTCTTTAACATCGATTGGAGCATATTTTATGCAGAGCCAGGGCACTGAGTGGTTCAGCAACATGGGTAAACTAGGCGGTGTGGGAGTTGTTGGTGCTTTCATTATCGAGTTGATGAGTAAAGGGAGCGCAAGAATCATTCCTTCGTTGAGGTAAATCAGAAATTCATTCGCAAACATCATCATCATCAGCAGCATCATTGATGCTACTACCATCAACCATGGATTCTGGAACTTAGGTGCCCAGACACCATTAGCCCCTCCCTCTCTCGTCCCAGTAAGTTTAGAGGTCAGTTGAAATCCAAGAAAATTGGCATGGGGATAAGTGCCCATGTGTGGTTGTTATTCCCTCACTTTCTCTCGCTCTCTCTCTCTTTCTATTTTTTAAAAATATTTGCTTACACAATTCATATTTTGTCAAACGAATTATTATATTTACTTGCTATTCAGCAACATTGCTATTCTAACAACAGCAAAGTAACAGTGCACTCTTTAACTAGGCTTAGGCAACTTGCTCCTTCCCGCTCCTAGAAAACTCTTAGGCAGCTAAGGTCGACACCCTTAAAGCTGTTCTTGTTTCGACGCCCCGGTCATCATTACTATAATCATCACTATCATAATCATCAACATCATAATCATCACCCACATAATCATCACCATCATAATCATCACCATCATAATCATCACCATCATAATCATCACCATCATAAGCATCCACATCATAATCATCACCATCATAATCATCACCATCATAATCATCAACATCATAATCATCAACATCATAATCATCACCATCATAATCATCAACATCATAATGATCACCATCATAAGCATCGACATCATAGTCATCCACATCATAATCATCACCATCGTAATCATCAACATCATAATCATCACCATAATAAGCATCCACATCATAATCATCACCATCATAACCATCCACATCATAATCATCCACAACATAATCATCACCATCATAAGCATCCACATCATAATCATCACCATCATAAGCATCCACATCATAATCATCACCAACATAATCATCACCATCATAAGCATCCACATCATATCATCCACAACATAATCATCACCATCATAAGCATCCACATCATAATCATCACCATCATAAGCATCCACATCATAATCATCAACATCATGATCATCACCATCATAAGCATCCACATCATAATCATCACCATCATAAACATCCACATCATAATCATCACCATCATAATCATCAACATCATAATCATCACCATCATAAGCATCCACATCATAATCATCATAATCATCACCATCATAAGCATCCACATCATAATCATCCACAACATAATCATCCCCATCATAAGCATCACCATCATAAGCATCCACATCATAATCATCACCAACATAATCATCACCATCATAAGCATCCACATCTTAATCATCCACATCATAATCATCACCATCATAAGCATCCACATCATAATCATCACCATCATAAGCATCCACATCATAATCATCAACATCATGATCATCACCATCATAAGCATCCACATCATAATCATCACCATCATAAGCATTCACATCATAATCATCAACATAAAAATCATCAAGATCCACAGGATAAACTTAGCTTGGGTGATGAAGTTAGAGCTTCAGATCCAAAATGACTCTGGTATACTTGAGCTGTTCTAATTTCTTTTAATACACAATCAGGGAGCTGATAAGTGGAACAGCATGTTCCTATTCTCAGCAGGTCGAATTTTATTGTCGATATAATTTACGAGGTCAAGTTTAATCCCATTTCTTAGGTTAGATTTGATAATAGCACTGAAAACTCTTTTTACGTCAGCATTTGAGTGGGGTCTTATCATGGCAGACATGGCACATTCAAAGAGCTTATAGAATGGACTATTTGATGAGGCATCTTTAAATTGTCTCACTTCACTCCAAAACGCTTCAGTTTCTGTTTTGTTTGTCCATTCAACTAAGTTTATTTTGGTTAACTCATATTCTGCTTCTGCGACACTATTATCAGAAGCCCCTAAAATTTTAATAGCTTTACCATTTTTAGATATGTCATTTACTGGCTGAAGTATGTTGCTCACAATAAAGAGTGAAATATTTTTTATTACATCTAGATTTTCAAGAAGTCTCTGCTTCAATTGCTTGAACAATGAGATAAGGAAATCTTGACAACGTTTTCTTAAGTTGTTCTCTTCATTCTCTGTTAACAGTCCTTTTGTTTTTAAATCGTCAATTTTTGATTCGATTTGATATCCAAGGTATGGCTTAGGAGCCAAATAGCTCTCTATAGTGCAAGTGAGCAAATTAGCTTTAGAATTTGGCAACATCAGTCTTTTACTAACTGAGTGAAATAGCAAAGTGAGATCGTCAAGTAATTTAACTTTATCAACATGTTTAGACTCGAACAGTTTATTAACTTTTTGCATTTCCATTAGAACAGGTTGTAAAAAGAGAAGGAATGCCACATTGTTTTCATCACTGTACATTCCATATAGTATTTCAGCTGTGTGGCACTTTTCACTTTGTCCTGTTATTTTAAAGTGTGTCTTCAACCATTGGTTCACAATTCTTTCAACAGCTGGTTGAATTGATAATCATCTAGTTTTGCAATCTGACAGAATTTTCAGTGATATGGAGCCATCATTCAAGACTGTATATAATGTATTGTATTTCTGTTGTCTGACAAATGATTTGGATTCAGCAATAAGGTATTCCAAATTCTTTGGTAAACATTTAGATGAAGCATGTGATAATGCTAACTGCAATTAATGACACAAACAATTTATAAGAATTAACGATTGGATAGCTTCCTTCAACTTGGCATAAACGCCATTGTTTATACCAACCATCACCGAGGCATTATCGGTATTAATTTGCAGGCGAATTCTTCAAGTCTAAGTGTTTGTTCATTATAAGTTTCTTCATTTTGGGAACTATACTTTCTGCATCACACTTTCCCAGTTAACTAGTCCAAGATATGTATAAACTACTTTGTCTGTATTGTTGCTGTAATATATAATACACACAACAAGCACTTTCAGTACATAAATATCATTTTTTTAGTCTAATAATAAACTATATTTTTCTATTTCGTGTGATTTAAAAAAAAAATAATTGCTCACCTTTCCACAAAGTCAGCGCAGTGAGGGATCGGTTGAAACAGTGTTAGTATGATTTACGCACGCTTTTAATCGGTACCGGGGTTGCCAGATATTGGAGCGTTGATCCCAGTGAGAGTTCAAAGTTTAAGTAATTGCAATTGTCACAATGTACGTGCCAGACCAAAACAAAAATATTGTAGTAAATAGTTTACACAGTAATTATAAGACTGTCACTAAAAAAAAAAATCTATAAAATATCTAACTCCAAATGAAAAACATCTACCATCTAGACGTCAAAAACACCATCTAAATGCAAGGGAAAACATCTAAATCTGGATGTAAAACATCCAAAGTGGCAACACTACACTTGTCCCAGTTTTTCTCTTCTTACAGTGCAGCAAAAAATTATGTCCGCCTATTTCTGATGTTTGCGAATGAATAGATTTTAAATTACCTAACTGAATATCTTTTGAATCATCAACTGCTACAGCCGAAGGGCAGAAGCGCACGTGACTGCTGGAGCATCATGGCAAGCGTTGGCCCAGAAAACCAGATCATACAGAATTCAGCTGGACAACCCAAAGCTGGATGTCCCCGTGTAAGTTTGTTTTGTTATGTTTATTGAGTATATTAATATTCTGAAGATAAATAAATAGGCTATTAGAAAAGGTTTATCTTCAAAATGATAATTCATTCAATAGCACATACTGCAAATTAATTAAACTGTAGTTCACTTTCTGTATAAATCTACTTGATAACAATTGTTACCATCGACAGGCCACGCCAGCCTCGCAAAAACGGGAATTCCAGTTTCAGCTGTATGGCTTATTTCTGGAGCTGGCCGTGGATTCTGCTACCCATTTTAGTTAATTTAAATTATGCTGGACAGTCCTTATTTGGCTGTCAAGATATACTGTTTTTTGTTGTTCTGTAATTTAATTAAATCAGATTGCAAGCCGTTCCACTCTGTCTACCCCCCCCCCCTCCCCCGGTATTCTTCTCTGCTACGGCAACCTGAACGTCTAACATCCAGTGACTTACAGAGTCATTATTCAAATGACAACCCGACAGGGGGAGCAGCCGTGGTGTAGCGACTAGATGCTCACTTGCGGATCCGTAGGTCGTGAGTTGGAATCCGAACGGAGCCAGACTTTTTGTGTGTGTCAAAAATAACATTGGAACCAGCCTTAAAGCCTTAAATTGGTAGCATGTGCAGTCCTTGGAAGTAACCGCCGTCTGCAAGATGTTGACAACATTACCCACCGCGTGCCGGTCTATAAAATATAGGTCTAGCCCTGTGTGCCCAATATACCTCTCAGTAGATACACTCCAGCTATGAAGGAAACCCCTGATTAGCCGCCGAAAAAAATGGGGTTTAGGCGAAGGAACAAAGGCGCCTGGTTCCATTTTTAGAGGGCTGCTAAGCCAAGACACTACCCCCTCCGCCTCCCGGCTCACCTACAGCAGTCATGTTTTGAGGGGACTAATTGGCTACCTGTAACAATGTCTGGACATTATCTTTAAAATTGTTTGTTTAAAGACTTAATATTATTTCAAGTATTTCGTTGTATTTCTTTGCCATTGAGTCCACCAATAATAATAATAATAATAATAATAATAATAATAACAATAAAAACAACAAATGCAGCATGTTCTAGTTTTTAACCACTATACAACACGCCCCCCCCCCCCCCACTTTTTTTTCTTTTCCACCAAAAAAATGTAAACCCCCTACTTTCGTCACATATTATTTTTACTCATTTTTCAGACATATTTTACATTTGTCTTTGAATGGTGTTGGTATATAATAAGTTAAAAATACTGTTTGCATTTCTGAGTGAAACTTCTTTGTCTGGCAGGTACGCCGAGTGGTACCACGACTTGATAACACAAAGAGAGAAGCTGTGTTCCGCAGTGTGTATACCAGAATCCACATACCGCAAGTTCAATGACCCGGCTCTTGTGTTCAAGCCGTTGAAAAGACGCAAGCATTTATTCCTGCAATTCCTGGAACTTGAAAGAATGGATGATGACGATTTTATGGAAAGAAAAACTGTGCCTGGGACAAGTCACAAAAAGGATAGTTAATTATAATTTAAATAACAAGTTTGCATAGCTTTTTATATATGAATATTAGCGCCTCCATCATTCATGCACCCATTTACAGTAAAACCTCGCTTAACGGGCACCTCTCATAACGAGTAATTCGCACAACAAGCAAAACAAATTGTAAAAGAATGACTTGCTTAACGAACGACGTTTCGTATAACGAGTGGTGAGGATTGAACTAATTATTAGGAAAATAATAAGGAAATAGATTTGTAATTTTGTGTGTGCGAAAAGTTTATTAAACCCTTACAAAAATGTCCCCGTAGAAAAAACCGCAAGAAAACAGCCTTAAGAGAGTAAAAATAACCATATAAATGAAACATCAAATCATTGAAAGCGAGAACGAGGTATAAGCGTGGCTGATCTAGCACGCACATACATTCGGTTTGCATCAACGATTTGCACTATCCTCAAGAACAAGGACAATATTAAGGAGATGGATGCTTCACAGGCAGTGACAAGAATATCTGCGCAACGGTTACGTATTCTCGACGATGTTTAAAGGTTGCTTCTCATTTGGATAACTGAAAAGCAACTGCAAGGTGACACTATTAACAAGAACATCATTTGTGAGAAGGCAAAATTGATTTTCGCCGACCTCGTTAAGAAGACGCTAGAATCATTAACGGCAGAAGAAGAAGTATTTAAGGGAAGCCGTGAGTGGTTCGAGAAGTTCAAGGAAAGAAACAGCATCCACAGCGTCGTGAGGCACGGTGAAGCAGCAAGTTCCGACACAAAAGCAGCAGAGAACTTCATGGGCGTAGATTCTGAAAGTTATTTGCCGTAACAGGTTTTTAATTGTGACGAAACAGGTCTCTTCTCGTAAAAGATGCCAAAGCGAATGTATATAACAGCAGAGAAGAATGCATTGTCTGGCCACAAGTCAAAGACCGTCTCACGTTGCTATTTTGTGCCAGTGCAAGCGGCGATTTGAAAATTAAACCGCTGCTTGTTTACCATTCAGGAACTCCACGAGCCTTCAGTAAATGCAAAATCCAGAAGAGCACGCTAAATGTGATGTGGAGGTCCCCATGAAGGCTTTGGTGACACGAGACCTTTTTACTTAGTGGTTAAAGGAAGTGTTTGGTCTTTCTGTGAACAAATATTTGAGATAAATCTGCCACTCCATGTCTTGCTTGTTACGGATAACGCTATTGTCCATCCTCCTGACCTACAAGATGACCTCCCTACAGAATTTAAATTCATCAAGATCCAGTTTCTGCCTCCCAACACCACTCCGTTACT